TATGTATGCAAATATTGCTGCATAAGTAATTTTTTCTGCCATCATAATGTCTGCTGGATGGAAACAGATGATTTTCCACAAGAAGTCCAGGAATTCCTTTTTTCTTTGGTTTAATCCCTTTTGTTGCTATTTTTGACTTCCTCTAACCCTTTGTCTTGTATATAAGTTTATCTGATTTGGGGAGGAGACGGGAAGCACAGAAATGGTGGGATATAGGGTGAACCAATTCAGCAGTAAGACTCACTAGACACCATGTTGGAAATGAACTATACAATTTGTGGGGGAGGGAAGTTAGGAGGGGAAAAACTGGGAGAAAGTAAGGGAGGAGGTGACAGTGTCCAAATGGAAATGTACTCATTACCTGACTGTAACCCCTCTGTTCATCATCTTTACAATAAAATTTTAAAAGATTAACCAAAAAAAGGTCAGGAATACACAATGGGGAAAGGACAGTTTCTTCAATAAATGGTGTTAAGAAAACTTGGCATTGACATACAAAAAAAAATGAAGTCAAACATCTACCTCACACCTCCTCACACATAAATGGACACCTACTTCATACATAAATCAACTCAAAATATTGATTATTATTAAATGCTCATTACATGTTAAATATTGAAACATGAGATCTGAAATCTAAAACTAATAGAAGAATGAAAACAGAATAGCTCCTCAAAATCAGCCTTGGCAATGATAAATTTAAAGAAGACAGTAAAAGCTTAGGCATTAAAGCACACATAGTGTTGCATCTAATTCTCCCCAGAAAGAGAGCCAATTCATAATGTGAAACAACATGGGAGAAACATATTTCCAAACTATAAACTCATAATTATTAATACTATATATACAACTATTTAGCAAAATAAATCTCATTAAAAAAATGGGCAAAGAACCTAAAGACATTTCACAAAGAAGACCTACAAATGGCCAAGCAGTATAGAGTTTTAAAAAATTCAGTACAACTACTTGAAGATAATAAAACAATTTACTTTTTTAGGTCAGTTGTGGGCTTGAATTCAGGGCCAAGGCACTGTCCCTGAACCTTTTTGCTCAAGGCTAGCATACTACCACTTGGAGGTACAGCTACACTTTTGTTTTTTCTGTTTGTTAATTGGAGATAAGAGTCTTACATGGTTTATATCTGTAATCCTAGCTACTCAGGAGGCTGAGATCTGAGGATTGTGGTTCAAAGCCAGACGGGGCAAGAAAGTCCATGAGGCTCTTAGCTCCAATAAACCAGCAGAAAACCGGAAGTAGTGTTGTGGCTCAAGTGGTAGAGTGTTTGCCTTGAGCTGAAGAGCTGAGGGACAGTGCCCAGGCACAGAGTTCAAGCCCCATGACCAACCCCCAGAAAAAAAAAAAGAAAAAAAAAGAGTCTCACAGACTTTCTTTCCTGGGCAGGCTTCCAACAGTGACCCTCAGATCTAAGCCTCCTGAGTAGCTAGGATTACAGGCATGAGCCACAGCTCCTGGCTATAATAAAACAATTTTAAAAATGAGTATTTCTAATAATGTTAGCATTACTAATGATCACAGAAATGCAAATCAGAACCACAGAAGGTTTTACTTCATATTTGTGCCTGTGATAAAATGATTTAAAAAATGGTTTGGTGAGGGTATAGAGAAAAAGAAACCCTTGTACCTTGTTGAGGGAATGTAAGTTAGTACAGCTTTTATGGGGGAAACATACTAGGAATTCATACAAAATTAAAGGTAGAGCTATACAATCTAGAGTACACAACTAAATAAAAGAAAGTCAGGACCTTTGAAATATTAATACCAAGTCCAAGATTGAGAAACAATTCAAGTGTCAACTGATGAAAGACTAAGCAGTTATGCAATTAATATTATTCATCCTTAGACACAAAGAGCTCTGACATTTGCAACAGCATGTATGATGCTGGATATCATAATGCTAACATAAATGGACCATTTGTAAAAGGAAAATACTTCATGATCTTCCCTATATAGAATAGAACTTTGGTTAGCAGGAGTTGGGGAAATTATAGTGAGATGTTGGTCAAAGGATACAAAGTTGTAATTAAATACAATGAGTATTCTAGAGATAGAATCTGCAGTGTTATGACAACAGTTAATACTGTATTGCATATTGGAAATTCATTAAGAATAGATTCAGATGCTGTTAGCACATGTATCAAATAATAACTGTGTGAAGACAAGAGTGTATTAATTTAGCTTGAGTAGAGAACTCACTTTATAGTACATTTATGTATCAAAACACAATTTAATTATATATAAAGTTAAGGCTAATTATATTTCGGGTTAATTTATTGATTTATTGCTGTACCAGGCTTGAACTGAGGATTGTAAGCTCTCAGTGACTTTTTTTTTCTCATAGCTGGCACTTTACCATTTGAGTAAGTCTTCCAATTCAGCTTTTTTGCTGGTTAGTTGGAAATAATCTCACAGATTTTTTTTTCCTAGGGCTGATTTCAGTCTGCAACCTTAAAAATCTTCACATTGTGGGGCTGGGAAGGTGGCTCAGTAGTAGAGCGCTTGCCTTGCATGCATGAGGCCCTGGGTTCCATTCCTCAGCACCACATAAGCAAAAAGAAAAAAGCCGGAAGTGGCTCTGTGGTTCAAGTGGTAGAGTGCTAGCCTTGAGCTGAAGAGCTGAGGGACAGTGCCCAGGCCCAGAGTTCAGGCTCCACGACCGGACCACCCTCCCCCACAAAAAAATCTTCGCATTGTAAAGTGCTAGGATGTATAGGCATGAGTCACCATTGCCCAGATCTGCTTTTAATTTTTTAATTGCAAGACAAACAAATAAAAAGCAACAAGGAACATAAACAGTGCTGAATAGAAAGGTCAGCTAATTTTGCTTAATCTCTTATTCTCATATTGCATGAGAATAAGTTTCTTACAGACACATTTAGATTTTCAGAGAGCAATGCTGCGCCCATTGCTGTTCCTCTAGAAAGTTTCCAAACTCAGAAGCTCAGGAGATGACTTATGGGAACAAATAGAGTTCTGGCTTCCATTCCATCAACTGCTTTCTACACCACCAAGTCTCAGAAAATACAGAGAGGGCCCACTCCCTCTTTGCTTATAGAAACCCTTTTTCTGCTTAAACTCATTTGTTAGGGGAGATCTGCAGCCAGCAGAAGGACATAGCTTTAATCAAACACAGCTGAAAAGATTTTGTGCTCCTTCTAGATGAACCTGAGATGTAATGGACTGTGGTCTCCCCAGAGCATTGATGAGCTGAGATTCTTTCTGGGGATTGGAGAGGCAGTGGGAGTTTCTTCCACTTTCTCTAATCTCCTTGGAAATGTCCACACTCCTGCCTTCAGGACTGGTGGTCACATGGACTGTGAATCCAGCCCACATTTGCATCCAAGAGAGGAGAGAATACTCAGGCTTTTGACTGGAGCAAAGACTTAGAGTGTTCCTGTGCAGGCCATGTCATGAGTGACTTGAAGTGGAAACTGTGTTCTCCAAAGGTGCAGTCTCTTGGCCTGTGAAATTTACAGTAGAGCTGTAAGTGCCAGAGATGCCCCAGCTATACATTGGAGCCCCATCTGGAGCATTGTTTTCAAAACCAAGATAGCATCCTTTGTAAAAGAATAGTTTCTCCCTGTATGCATTCCTAGGTATTTTCTGACCATTATGGTCTTGGATGTGTTTCTAATCAGCATACAGTGTTTCTCATGATCAATTTCTTTAATGCTTTTGAAGCCAAACATCATCGGACTATATGTACAGGTCTAAGGGAGACACTTTGAAATGGACAAAGAAACAAAGATGACACATTTCAGGCATGTGGATTTTTTCTTTTCCCTCATGAAAATAAATGTTTCTGAACCATGTAAATTCTCATAGTTCTTACTTAGAAGGTGACTGAGCTCATTCTTTGCTTCCCCCACTTCCGTTCCTCCACTCCCATGGAGATGATGATAACTACAAATTAGGCATAAATCCCATGGTAAAGTATCCATCTGTATCTTGTGATTAACTTGGATTTAGAATGTACAGCAGGAATAGATTCTTAGCTTTATATAAAGGACTTTACTCCTGATAAGTGTCAAACACTTGCTAGCAGAATCCCTTGTGTTGCAGTGTTTTTTTCTTGTCGGTAATGGGGTTTAAACTCAGGGTCTGGAAGCCATTCCTGAGCTCTTTTGCTCAAGGCTACCACTTTGAACCACAGTGCCACTTCCAATTTTCTGGTGGTTAATTGGAGGTAAGAGTCTCACAGGCTTTTTGCCTGGGGTTGGCTTTGAATCTCACGTCTTAGATCTCAGCCTCCACAGTCACTAGAATTACAGGCATGACCCACCAGCTCCCAGCTGCTGCTTCTTCCTTTTATTTTTATTTTTTTCCTACTGATCATCTCTCTTTGGTCCTATAAACCAACTCAGATAAAGGATAGTTTCTAACATTTTTCTTCCTCATTTTTCTTTTATGGTCATTGTTGTTTAGGGAGCTCCTGGTACATACTTAGAAGGTAGTAAATAACTTGCCTGAGATTATGAGCACTGAAGCTTATTTGATGGCACAGTAATGCAAGAATCGGGGAAGTGGCATGGTGGCTCAAGCAATAGTGTTTGCCTAGAGGTGAAGAGTGCAGAGACAGCTCCCAGGTCCAGAGTTCAAACCCCATCACTGACCAAAAAAAAAGAAAAATAAGAAAGAATGAAAAAAAGATACAGTTTGATGAATAGTGAGGGTTTAGGGAAAAATAAACTACTTATTTGAGGGAGCAGAAATATTTTCTTTCATTTAGTCAAGGAATGGGAATTTAGGCAAGGGATGGGAATTGGTAGTGGGTAAGGATCTGTTCTGCCGGTATCCTGGACTCTGAATCTATGTCAGATTTTTCTAGAACTAGATTTCTTAAAAATAAAAAGAAATCCATGAAAATAAAGTCTTGATTAATTTAATGATTCGCTGTAGTAGAATGTGAGGACAAGCAATTCTTAATGCATTACACCTTTGGCTCATAGAAGAATCGATGTACAAAATAACTTTTGCACTTTTCAGTGAACATTCCAGTATTTAGTGACATGTACATCCCTGATGATCAGGATAAAGGGGCTGAGACAAGCATACCCAAAGACTAGAAATACATTGATCTTTATTATTGTACAGTCATGTTTCATGACAGAACTTAGGTAGATGGAGGAGATTAAATTTGTCCAATTAAAACAAAGAAAACAGACCATGAGAATGAGAGTACTTAGAACCACTCTGATTTCTGGGCTGGAATTGTTTTCACATTTGGAGCTATGAAGGTAGAGGACTCGCTTGTAATGTTTATACAGATAGAAAACCATGTACCCACTGCTCCAGCCCATGAGACTCTGAAAGATCACATCCCGGAGAGCCATGAGGGAGAGGCAAAGCCACCTAAACACATGGCTAGATTGATGCATATGACAATACCCAACATAGACTTCAGTTCTGGAGCTGTTCATGCTATTGAATGCTGTCATGAAGTAGAGCAAATAGGAGCTTATCAGAGCATTCAAGACCCAAAAGAAGAGGAGATAGGGAAGAACTTGCCATGCAGTCCGTGGTTTGAGCTTTCTCCACTGGGTGGTTCTGGGACTGATGGTAATGACCTGGACCATGGTGAGGAGACAGGTGGTGCAGACGGAAAGGCCTCGAGCTAGTTTTTCCATATAAAGTACAGTTTTGCAACCAACATCACTTAGGAAGTTTATAAAACAAAGATCTGTAGTTAATATACTTTTGATCCCTATGTTACAAATAATTAGTGTATTTGAGAAAACCAAGTGAATGAGGATAATGTATATGGGTTTTTGTTTCTCAAGACCCATATTTAAAGTATATACATATTTCACAAGTACAAGGATGTTTCCTAAAATTCCAGGACCAGTAAACACATAGAGGGTTATCCTTTGGATGAGGTTACTCCAAATCATCGGATTTCATGCACAGGACCAGGAAAAGCCTTTTGAGAAGCACAAACATGTAAAAATGACATATTTCTGGTCTATTGATTTTCCCTGTTTACATAGTAAAAGCAATGGTTCATGAATTATGTAAATTTACAAGTTTATTTCCTGCAAGGTACCTAATCTTTCTTTCCTCATTTCCTTCTTCCATTCCTTCCTCCTTTCTTCTCTCCTTTATTCCCTCATCTCTTTCCTTTCTTCCTTTCTTCCTTTCCTTCCTTCTTCTTCCCTCTTCTCCCCACCTCTTCCCCCTTCTCTCTGTCCTTAGTCTTGAACTCAGGGCCTAGGTGATGTCTTTGAGCTTTTTACCTCTTGGCTGCCACTCAACCACTTGAAACACAGCTCCACTTCTACTTCCATCTTTTTTTTTTTTTTTTTAGTGGTTAATTGGAGATAAGCTTCTCATGGACTTTCCTACCTAGGTTGTCTTGGAACAGTGATCCTCAGACCTCAACTTCCTCTGTAGCTAGGAATATAGGCATGAGTTACCAGTGGCCAGCACTTTCTTCCTTTCTTGATTCCTGTGACTTGGAGATCATGATGACTACAATTTAGACACAAACTCCATGTTTCATACATTCCCCTGATTTTTCCTTCTTTGTACTCCTTTGTGAATTCACATTTTCTGCGATCTTTTTTTTCTTCAATGAAAAGTAAACAAAATCAAGAAATATTATGCAATTTCCAATCTGTACTCCTTAGCAATACTAGCTTAAATGCTTCCTTCTCTTTCACTTGTTATACCCAGAAAATATCATTATGGTTGTTTTTCCTGTCAGTTTTGGGGCTTGAATTCAGGTCCTAGACACTGTACCTGAGCTTCTGTTGCTCAAGGCCAGCATTCTACCATTTGAGCCACAGCATTACTTCTAGCTTTTTCTGTGTATGTGGTACTGAGGAATCAAACCCAGTACATGCTAGGCAACCACTCTACCCTTAAGCCACATTCCCAACCAGAACAATGTTCGTTTGTTTGTGTTTTGATACTTGTCCTTCCCCAGATTATCTGTATGATCCTGTGTTGCTAGCAGGAACCTGAGGCAATATGATGGGATACCAGGCTGAAGAAAATTAGAAAACACTGTAGACATAGACAGAAAAAAGGGGGCTGGGAAGGTGGCTCAGTGGTATAGTGCTTGCCTTGCATGCATGAGGCCCTGGGTTCGATTCCTCAGCACCACATAATCAAAAAAAAAACAAACCTGGAAGTGGCACTGTGGCTCAAGTGGTAGAGTGCTAGCCTTGAGCTGAAGAGCTGAGGGACAGCGCCCAGGCCCAGAGTTCAGGCCCCATGATTGGACCGCCCCCCCACACCCCCCCAAAAAAGGGAGAGACCAGAGGATTCAAGGCTGTACTTGGGCCCAAAGTTCCCACAAGCAAGCATATGTGTTTACACAAGAAAGGTTACCATCGATACATGCAAAAAGTAAAGTATCTATATTAATATTACAATTGGAGCTAAAACAGTTTGTGAGAGACACTGGTTCCCTTATTTTTTTGAGACAGGAGAGTGTAGGCCACGGGAAGTCCAGATACATTTAGCCCAAGGTTTAATTGTGGGTAGGGATGGGAGGGGTGATGACAGTCCAGTCTCTAACTCCCTCCAAAGATGCCTGTTTTAACCCTTCCATAGGCAGTTCTCAGGGTTCTGAGTGCTATCAAGGTGGCTTGACTATACCAAATTGCTCCAACCTCTTAAGCCTTTTTCAGGTTTCATAGTTCAGCTTCAGAGTTCCCTTTTATTTATTTGGAAAAATCATTACTTTTAGTTTTGTTAGAGTTAACACACATTGAATGTTAGAGAGAAACACTGAAAGACACCAAGGGGCCAACAAAATATCCCCAAGATTGTGGTTACTGGTCCCCCCAAAAAGCCAAAATCAAGATAGCCATCCATCTTGAAAGTTTCCAGTTATCACTATTTATTTTATCTTGTTTAATTTTGTTTGTGCTGTTCCAACTGGTTTTGAATTTTTTGAGAATTGTCACTTGTATTAAAACAACATAATCCTGAAAACAGTTTGCATCCTAAATGATTTTTATCAACAAATAATCTATGGCAGTTCGATTTTGTAAAATTTTCATTTTTAATTTTTTCTTTCTTGATTTATTTTTTCAGCATTATAGCTACAATATTTGTTATTTTGTGAAAAAGACAAGCTAGCTGATTCTTTGTTTTGGGGGTACACCTACTACAAGTATGGGGACAGGTAGAATAAAAGCTGTTGCTACAGCTGTATAAGCGGTATCTAGCAATACGAGATGGTCATCACAACTTGGAGGGAGCTCACATTTAGTTTTTTGGATACTTTTCTAACAGAGTGCTTGAATAATCTTTTTTTTAAAAGCATGATATATATTTGGTTTTATAAAAGAAAGACCAGAGAGCACCAAGTATTTTTCTTTAGACAAAGTGAGTTTTGATACAGAATAGTTGCTAAGATTATCTATACAACTAAAGCATAAACATTTATATTGGACTATAAAGTCAAGATTTATAATTAATTTATTTTTTTAAGATTTTATCTCCATGTTCAGTAGTTTTATCCTTAGTTACATTTTTGTATCCTCTACTGCTAACAAGTTTAATTAAATTTTGTGATAGGATATTTTGTACAGAGGAATTTTCGTAATACAAAAGGAAGTTTCACTTATGATATTAACTGCCAATTGAAGCCAAATATTTGGAGTACCAGTAAATTTTGATTTAGGAACCAAATATACAGTAATATGCATTTTTGTAAGAATACTGTCTTGCATATAACACTTTTGTAATTTGGAGCAATAATATTTTCCTTTATCGTTGAGGGAGGCCATAGGCTTGACTACATCTAATTGGATATTATCTCTTTTAGATTGATTAGTTGTATTTGTCCCTTAGATTTGTTTTGGCCAAATATTTTAACTCCATCTTTAAACCAATGAATAGTTCCCACTTTTGAATTATTGCACATCACAGAACAATTTAAGTACAATATACCTAACACAGGAACCCCCCAAACAGAGGCTTGCACCATGCATGAGGCACTAGCAGTATGAATAAGTGCCATCATTATTACAAACAAAGATACTGCATTAATTTTCTGTCCATTGTCTTTTAAACACCTGCTAACTTTTTGGGAAAGCTTTTTTATCTGTCTGCAGGTGGGAATGGTCGCCATTTTGGTTGGTGCTGTTTTACTGGTGTGTTTAGTCAGCTTCATCCTCTTGAAGGACTCCTCCAAAGGTTTTTGTGTGTCAGATGATTTTGTTTTTATTTTTGGGTTTTGGTTTTTGGGTTGGCAGCTAAACATCTGTTGAGCCTGTGGAGACACAAGCATAACCATGGCCCCATACTTTAACAGTTCCGAGTTTCCAGTTACTGTCAGTATCATCCTTCCACCATATAGGTTGACATGAAATTTTTAATTTTTTAAATATCCTTTTAATGTTTATTTACTACTGACGTATTGGATAGAAAAATCAAATTTTTAAAATTTCCAGTATATGTCATTTTTATTTGCTCTTTGAAGGTCTAGTGACCTATATACCTTTTACCTCTTCGTGTTTAATTAACTGATATTTGAGCATATGGTTGTAACCTATCACTACAGCTTGACCTTTGAGAATTGTATAGTATTTCTGTAAGTTTATACTTTAGCACTAGTAGAAGCAGGCGTTTTAATAGCACAGGGAACACTCATCACAGTAAAAAAGAAAGAAGATGAGTGATTACATGCTTAGAAGTTTTTCTGGTTAAAGATGTGGTTATATATTGAAAATTTGTAATGAGATTAAGAGAAACATCTCCTTTTGAACAGTTGGATGACAGTAAATAGTTCATTTTGCTGAGTAGACTGATAAAGGGAGTAATTCTTTTTATTTTTGCATCTGAACAAGTTATTTTTTCTTTTTTGTTTTTGTCTGAAATAGGATAATTAAAAAATACATCTTGTATATTTTAGAAATGAGAACACCTTACCTTTTGGATAGTGACATCTTAGATGTCCTAGGTATTTAGAAAGAAGTATTTGCCATAATATTTTTTTGGTAACTATTATTAATCTCTTTGTCTGAAATAAGAATAGTAATGCATAGGGAGAAAGTCTTTTAACTTCCCCTCCCCCCAAAGTCCTGAAGATGAAAACTTTTTCTGCAGCTCTGTAAAAGGTTTAACATATTTTTTTTCAGGCAAAGTCAACAATATGTCATCTATATGATGAGTAATATTTGTGTTTGGAAAAGAGTCCCACACAAGATTGTAAAACAGATTCTATATAATACTGTTCTATTATAGGGTTACCAAACATTTTTTGAGGCAGCACTTTTCATTGATAGAGTTTTATAGGGTTTTAAAATTTATACATGGAAAAGTAAAGGTGAAATTTTCTTATCTTGTTTTGTTAAAGGAGTAGTGAAATAGAATCTTTTAAATCAGTTACTATGAATTTTTAATCTTTAGGTAGCAGAACACCAAGTAATTACTTTCTATTATTTTAGCTTCTTTGACATAGATTCATTTCTTATATGGTTGCTGGCTAGAACAGTACAGATAATAGTAAAAAAGCAAGTAATTTCAGGAAATATCAACACTAGAAAATATCACCATATAAAACAGAAACGCTTTAGTTTTCATACCATGAGGATAGTTTATATGCATTAAAATATTAGATCAGCTTGAATATGTTCACACACACATACATGTATATGTAATTCTGAACAAAAGCTTTAAGGTGCACTTAGGTTTTAAAATTGAAGACCATCCCTAGGTTTATCAGCATTCCAGTGGCATTTTTGCCCATTATATACTAAAATCATATGATTATTGTGAGAAAAGCAAACACTAACCAACACAGAGCACAAGACAAAACACAAAGCACAAAATTTTCACCAGATAAATAGAATTTAAAAACCAAACTCTTAATGGGATAACTTCTCCCTGTTTATAGGCCTTTTCATTTCAGAAGACCAGATTATTTCCCTCCATTGCTACATCTGCAGCAATTTTTGTGGTGGAAATCTTCTCCCCTTTGTTACCCTGGTAGACCTGAACTGTGTTCTAGCGTGCATTTTCCAGATCATGAACTCTTTTTTAAATTTTAATATATATTTTTTACTGTAAAGGTACTGTACAGAGGGGTTCCGGTTACAGGAGTAAGGTGATGAGTAAATTTCCCCTCCAGCATTGTTACCCCCTCCTTTGATTTTCCCCCAACCACCTCTTCCCTCATCACCTCCCCTTTGGTTCGGAATTGCTCCTGCTCATGTTGGGCAACACATGTTGCTAACCCCAACCTGAGGCATAGCAATGGGATACGGGGAGGAAGAAAATTAGGAAACTCTGTAGACATAGACAGATGGAAAAAGTGGGGAGACCAGGGGTTCCGAGGCTCTGCTGCAGAGAGAGAGCATGAGTTTACAGGGCCTGAGTCTACACATGCTAGCATATTTATTTGAGTTTACACAAGTTAGAGTGCCATGGATACATGCAAAAAGTGAAGCATCTATAGTAATATTACTATCAGAGCTAAAACAGAGTTTGTGAGAGACACTGGATCCCTTATTATTTTGGGACAGGAGTCTTCAGGGAAAGTCCAGACATGGTGTCCATCCACATGTTTAACCCAATGGTTAAGTTGTCAAGGTGTCTGGCAGAGCTGCCAGCACAAGGAAAAGGTGTGTGTGTGTGTGTGTGTGTGTGTTGGTGGTGGCAATTCAATCCAGTTTCTAACCCTCTCCAGAGCTGTCTGTTATAACCCTTCATGGCCAGCTCTCAGCTTTCTGAGTGCTGTCAAGGTGGCTTTCCAACTGCTGGAACCTTTTCAAATTTGCACAGCTTAGTTTCAGAGTTCCCTACAATGCTGTACACATTCATCCTTCAAGTGAGGAAAAAATCTGTTACCTGCCATCATCCTCCCCTATACAGTGAGAACACCTTGGAAATGTTGCTTTTGAGTGTAGTTACATATGTTTCCTAACATGCTTGAAAAATAGCATACAAATAAATGATAAATTGAAGCATATGATTCAATAACTTGACTGTAAACTAAGCCCATCAATGAATCAGCTAAACAATTCGTGATGGTATTTGGGTTGGTTTATATTTCATTACAAATGTTAAAACTGAATGGTCTGGAGAAGTCAATGCACTTTGATTTCAATTTCAGTGTCTCCTCATATGTAGAGATGAGGTGAACACACAGGTTTCTACAGATACAGGGAATGACATGACTATCCTTACAAAAAGGTATAAATCATAGTTAATTCTTACCATACTTCTATATTGCTGTGGCTGTGATTGTCCTTAAACAATGTATATCTTGGTTCTCTGACCTATCAATAATACACTTTAGAATAAGGAAGAGTATCTGTTCTCTTGCTGAGAATCACACATGGGTTGGAAAAGCCATATACCTATATCTGCTCTTAAAACTGTTTCAAATTAAAAAAACTGTTTCAGATAGACATTGATGTGTATATTTTAATGGCATTTTATAAGCTTCTTATCTCCTTCTACCTTAAGACTTCTTGTAGAGAGAAAAACAGAGGTTACTAGATAGCAGATAGGAATTAATGGGTCTTCCTCTACCTGGGTTCTATACCTTTCCTATTCTACAATTGGTCAAATATCTCAGACCCTTCTCTCTCACCACCTGCCCCTGACCAGCTCTGCCTCCACAGCTTCCCCAAAGTAACTCAATCTTCAGTACTGGATCACTTACCTACATAGATGTTGCAGCTGACTCAACTTGGAAATTGTGATCACGCGGTAAGGGTCAGGATGTATTTATCCTTCCTTAGACTCAGTGTTCATAACCAATTCCATTGCTGTCAAGATGTCACTGTCATGAGTTTTATCTTCACCAGGGGAAAAGTGCTCCTTCTGTACCTCTCCATCCCTGAGGTACAATTCTGCTGTCTTCTTGCTACAGTGTAATTTGCTGAAGCTAGAAACTTCTGGGTAAATTATAGTGAATGTGTAATAATGAGTCATGGTAATGATGAAGAGTTCCCTAAAGGGTCCAAGTTTCTTAAACTTGATTTGACTCTTTTCCATATCCTCCATTCATCACCAAAACCAGGAAGTAATGTTAAAGAAACGTCTGAGAATCCACAGAGGTCACTTTCTGAGGAGACCATTTAAGTATTCCAAGTTTCCTCTAAGTTTACATGTGCCAATTTAATGTCATTTAACATTTCCTTGGTTTATGATTTTAGTTGTTGAATTCTTGTCTTGGATCTATTTTGATTTACTCTTTTTGTATGTGGTAGTACTGAGGCTTGAACTTAGGACTTCATACTCTTGCTTGGGAAAGTCTTGTCTGGTGCTTTAGTACATGAGCCACACCATGATTTTATCTGTTAAATTGAGACTAAGCAACCTCCAGAGCATTTGTTTTTCTACAGATTTTTCCATTGAGAGTTGCTCAAGTAATTTAGTTTTCTCTGTTTCCAAGTATTGCTGATGACTGGGCTAAACAACAGCACAGTTCAGAAGTCTCTATAATTTTTATGCAACAATTGTGATTTAGATTACAGTTGTGAATACCATTAAAAAATTAGTGGCCGGGCGCCGGTGGCTCTCGCCTGTAATCCTAGCTACTCAGGAGGCTGAGATCTGAGGATCATGGTTCAAAACCAGCCTGGGCAGTAAAGTCCATAAAACTCTTAACTCCAATAAAAATCATCAGAAAACCAGAAGTGGCCCTGTAGTTCATGTGGTAGAGTGCTAGCCTTGACCTTGAGCTAAAGAGCTGAGGAACAGCTCTCAGGCCGAGTTCAAGCCCCATGACTGACCAAAAAAAAAAAAAAAAAAAAAAAAAAAAAAAATTAATGAAGTAAGAATTTAGGAAAGAAATAATGGTGTGATTTCTGCAGATGTATTGGAGGGTGGAGGTGTGGGTCTAGGGGCTTTCTGTTACCTGGGTTCTTAAGATCCTCTGACTACTCATTGGGCTCAAACTTTGTTTCCAGGTCTCAGCAGGACTGAGTGTACGTTTTATCTTTTTCAAACTTAGGATCCCAGAATATGGTTTTGGAAATTTTCTAAGTTTATTCCATGGGAAACATATATTCAACAGTACAAAAAGAGGACCATTTATCCATCACTCAACTTTGATCATTGACCAGTTGAAAATCCCATTCAACTATCCTTTCCTGCTTCTCCATAGCAGTCCAGATTATTTTAAAGGAAGTCAGTATGTCATTTTGTACCAGTATTAAAAATAATCTAAGACTCTCTGCTAATCAAAACACTAAAATTAACAACAACTATACATATACCATTGTGCTTCAATAACAATTCTTTAATCACACTTAATATCCAGCAGGTCTTCAGTAGAAGTTGTTTAATTCTCCTGGATAATCTCCTTACTATTATTTGCTTATATATAAT